TTCTCTCCTTCCACTTTGTGGGTCCCAGGAGTCTGTTTCAGGTCATCAGGTGGGCTCTGTGGTAGGAACCTTTACCTGCTGAGCTATCTTGAAATGCAAATTCTTGAATGGTGATGTTGATTCAAATCTGCACTAACCAAAAGATACAGAAACACACACACACACACACACACACACACACACACACACACTGTCAGTGTTCTCTTCCTGGCTTGCTAATTAAACTCTAAGATACTGCCTTTGGGGAAAACTTCGGTACCTCCACCTCCAACACTTTTTTTTTTTTTTTTTTTTTTTTTTTTTTTTTTTTTAAACCTAAAATTTTTTTTTTAAAAAAATTTTTAAAAAAAGTTGTTAAAATCCCTATTATTTCATCTCAAGTTATATTGGGGGTATTTACTTTTCCAAAGTTCCAGATAAAATAAACAGATTCCCAAATGCTTCTGGTGTGGTTTAATAAGCACAACAACCAAATGTAATTTAACCCAAGGTCATTTTCACACAACCTGACCCTCCGGAGAGACACAACTGTATCCAGAATCTGTGAGCCTGGTCAGACGATTCCAGAACTCACAGTGCCTTCTAAACAAGCAGGGAGTCTCTCAGACTCTGACCTGGACTCTTATATGACTGAAATCATGGCTGCTGATCCTTAGAGCTAGACCTGCTGCATGTCAGTGGCACGTGATGGCAAGCAACAACAGCATCAAAAGGTACTTGTTCACTCGATACCTAGAGGTTTGGAAGCATTCACCTTGGGGACAAATAGAAATACATACTTTCTATCTGTAGTAGGGGCAGCTGTCTGTATAACTGAGTTCATAGAAAAAACTGCAAACTGTAGAGGGAAGCGGGGATAGTCAGCTCAGGATAAAAGAGGAGGGAAGTGTTATGAGGTAGCTCAGAAAAATCCTGCCACAAAATGGTTTTGGAGGCCCAATGGTCACCTAAAACTGCAGGTAGTGTAAGGTGGGGAGGGGTGTCTGCTACACCAGGACTCTATTGGTCACCCATCAGGTGAGAAAAACAAATCATCAGAATCCCCAAGGCACTTGTCCCAGCTCATAGTCATAGAGGATTTCACCGTCAATCTTATTCTAGACTGAGAAAAAAAAAATCACATGGCCCCAACCTAGGATCTGAGGCACCAGGCTTGTGAACTACTAACTGGATCAGTAAGTGGAGAAATGAGAGGGTCACCTTTCTTCACACAGCATGCAGTCCTTGGCCTTAGGAGGCCCTTTCAGATCCAGCCACTATTGGTTAGACTGGAGGAAATAACACTTTCCCGAGGAAAAGGGAAAATCATCCAGGAAGACATATCTTCTTGGAACATGAACTTGATACACTTGAAGGATTGGAAGGGCAGGAGTGGGAGAGGTAAAAAGCTCAGTGTGCTAGCTTCTGGGTAGCCAGGTGTGTGGCTGGCCTACTGTAGCAAAGGCTGGGTTGAGTCTGGAGTGGTCCTTGGGCTGAGGACGAGAGGAGGAGTTGTTAGCACTTGGGCAGGAGGCTGAGCAGTGTTGGGCTTGTGGGCTGTCAGGGCACCAAAGCTAGTACCAGGAAGTACTAAGCAGAGGGACTAGCTAGATTTCAACAGCTCCAGGGTCCCTTTCCCATCCAGTATAGCCTGATCATTGCCCTGTGTCAAGACAAGCCATGCCAGAGTTCTGGGGACCAGAAGGACTTAACTGTCTACATGCTATACCACTAGGGCAGATTTTACACTTGGGTGGTCAAAGCATTTTCCCTAAGGGCTATTTTTTTTAATAGCCAAAGGACCTAAAGGGGCAGAAATGACAGCAGAGGCCCCAGGGGATCTGAAGCCAAGAACCTAATGGCTCCCAATCCAGCCTGGGCCTGATCCATGAGCCTCAGGCGAGAGTTTATGCTGGCGCCTGTGAAGCCAGGCTACTCAGAAGTGCTGAGCTGCGGAGAGGCCTCCTTTCTGGGCCAGGAGCCCAGACTGACCTTGGCCTGCCCCTCGAATGCATGTAATCAAAACCAGTCTGTGCTTTGGGTGGGTGGGTAGGGGGAGTCCAGAGATCTGGAGAGGAATTAGCCAGTCAGGTGACATGAGGTATCCATCTGCCTTACCAGAAGCCACAGATTCAGAGGTCGCCTGGGAGGCAAGGAGCTCTATCCTAGCACTTACAGTCAGGTTCTGAGTTTTGAGCAGTTAAGGCTCATCACTGTGACTGATGCTATAGTGTGCACTTGTGACAAACACAGACTATGTATGCCTCAGGAGGTAGGCTACCTAACTGCCAAGTACCTTATGTCCTGTCTTCTCCAAGGCAATGTGTAACTTTCCTCCAATATGGAAGCATGGACAGTGCTGCTGTTTGCCCTGCAAGATGGGCTTCAAGAAGTTCCCCATGAGATTTTGGATTGGCTACATGGCCCAGATTTAAAAATTCAGAGATTCCACTCAAAATTCCCAATAGGAAAAGGAGACCCTCTTTCATCCACATGTCAGTCAATACAGACTGGGGATGAAGTACTACACCTGCATTTTGACCAAATCTGTATTCCTAGTTTTGTAAAAATCTGGGGGAGCTTTTGGGTGGGATGGACTGTGTTCAAGGCTATACCCAATACAAGCCAGCACACAAATCTTTCACTTCCTGCCTCTAGAGTTCCTAAGTCCCCCTAAAAATTATCTGTCACCCCCGCTCCCTAGCACCTGTATTCTATGACTACTCTCTTCAGGATATACAAACCCCTCACTATACACCCCCACTCCCCCAGGATCCTTACCATAACTGGGCACTCAGCTCCCAACCTGGGCTCCTCTCCTTTTGCCTATTGTATTCCACCATCCAGTCTTGTTTCTTAAACTTCCAGGCCTTTGTACACACCCTGCCTCGTGAACTGCTTCAGACTTCCACGCGGCTCTTTTTCATCATTTGATTTCAGTACAACCATGGCTTCCACAGAGTCCTTTAGCTGTGGCCACTGTCCCACCACCTGTTTCTTCTCTGACAGACCTTATTACCTGAACAGAACCACGGCAGCGAACATGTCTGGGCTCCAATGCCAACTCTGCTTCCCTAACACGGCTTCCTCCCTTGTCAGTGGAATCACACCCAGCCTCCCATGAACTCTCTGTGGTGGTGGCCTTCAGGCCAGTGCTCTGGCAGCAGCTCCATGCTCGCCCCAGACTGTTACCTCCCCGCACCCATCTTCTGTGGTGAACACAGAAATTTGTAACCTCTCAGCCCAGCAGATGCCAAAAAGGCAGAATGGGCCAGCCACAGCTGTCTTCTTGCATCCTGTCACCCGCCCTTCCTCATACACTCAACTTCACCACAGCCTAACTGAGGCGCTCTCTTCAAAGGCAGGAACTGAGTGCATGTGCTGGTGGAGACAAAAGCTCCTGGTGTGTGATGGGAAGCTACTCTCAGAAACTCCCCCAACATAGGCAGGACTCGGGGCCTTATCACATACATTTCCTTTCTGTCTCAAAACCTGCTTCTTATGATCCCTGTGGACTCAGGTCCTCGTTTACAGCACCTGCCTCGATCTTGAACCGCTATGCCCAAGTGGCACCATAGCTAGGCAGTTATTAGGAGCAAGATGAGCACCTGTCTTCCCGAGGCCACCTGTGTGGGGTGGCTCTGGTGTTTGGAGCAAGCATCCAGGAAACACTGAGTTTGGCCTTCATGTCCTTCTGGGGACACTGTAGTGCCAGGAGTCAGTGCACCAGACTTGCCTGTGAGGAAATTGCCAAAATAAACCCAGGCAATCTAAGAATCTACAAGAATACTTCTGGTTTACTGCCTCAATATATTTCAAATGTATTTTTGCTTTTTATTTTCTCAGGAATCAGTTTCTAGCAGAAACCACACACAGTGTCCCAGAATTCCACTCCACAACCTCTGGCAGCTCCACCAGTAGGTCATACTAGTTTCTCCTTCTAGCTTCATACACCCAGCTGGCCCAATGCCATGGCCCCTATCTTGTGAATGAGGAGGCTGAGGCTCCAGGCATACAGAGATCTTGCTGAAGAGTGACTCCAGACAGGGATGTAGGAGCTGGGTTCATACCTGGGCTCTGTTGAGCTGAGCCCAGCACGAGCCTTCTTTGCTCCTTGTCTTTCACTGGCAAATTTCCAGTTCTCCCTCTTTGTCAAAGGTCAGGCTTGGAGAAGGGACAGTGGGCTGTTCTTTCTAACTTCACATCTCCAGCCGTGACTATTCAGGACAGCCTGGCCCCAGAAGCCTTGGTTCTTGGCACTGTCTCAATAGGCCTCTCTGCAGTCGTATACAGATCTGCTTTGGGGTCTGGAGCTTGCACAGCAGCTGATGGTCCTACAGTTTTGTTATTGCTGTCCACTTGGCCCAGGTTCCATACATGTGTTGAGCTAGGTTTCATACATGTGTTGGCTTCTGACCAGCTCTGCCTCACCTCACAGCCCTGCTGTTGTAGGCCCAAGCATCAAAAAACTCCAGGATTGGACCATCAGTGCCCTGACTGAAGAAACTTCACTTGCCGGGCTTGGCTAGTGACTAGTTTTGTCTCAGTCCACTTCAGCCTGCTGAGTCACTCCATCCCACCTGGCCTCCAGGGGCAGCAAGGCTCTCAACAACAAGGTCCCTCAGCAGGCTGATAACCCAGGAACATGCAGAGGATAATCACTGGCACTAGAGGCTCATGGAAACACAAGGTGACATCAGTGTTTTTTCAAAGGGTCTGGGGAACATGGGATCCCAGCCTTCCTGGCTGTAGCCAGTCTCCCACAAAAAGGAAGACAGTTTCTTTGGTTGTATCTACCACTTGTGGCCCCACATACAGACAGGAGAAATATCAACAGTCGGCAGAGGGAAGGAACTAGAAAGATTTCCACAAGAACCAACACTGGTAGCACAGGATAGCCACTGAGGTCACACTGAACCCCCCCTACTCTGACCCTGAGGTTCCTGGATTCCATATGTGGAGAGGGCCACTTGCTTCCGCAGGGTTGGAAGGCATGGCTGGTCAACACAGGCTGTACTTACCATTGGAGCGGTGTATGCAGGTGTGCTGGTTGTCACTGAGAAAAAAGCCACTGTGGCACTGACACTCATAGCTGCCCATAGCATTGACACAGATCTGCTGGCAGCCACCATTGTTGTCTTGACACTCATCCACGTCTGTGAGAAGAGGGAGAAAGGGGAGAAGAGATGTTACACCTGGAGCTAGAGAGTCATAGACACAATTTCTCCATTAGTTAATGAAGGGTCTCCACAGAGATGCTATACAATGGAGATACTACGTGGTGTTACTCCATGGCATTGTGCTATGATGATACTACATGAGGGTACTCCATGGCATCATGCTTTGGAGATGCTGCATGGGGGTACCCCATGGTACTATGCTATGATGGTGCTTCATGGAGGTACTCCAGAGGTATTTCATAGTACTCTTCTCCCCAGTATGACAGTGCAGACTGAAATGTCTCCCTAACACACAGAGCTTGGTTAGCCACAGCCTACCATTCCCTACTTCTTAACTCACCTCAGATTTACAGCTGGTAGGTAGCACAAGACCCTGGAGCCCTGAGGGGGAGGCCGGAGGCCAGGGCAGCCTGCGCCACCCTGAAGGTCTCAGCTTGGCAGATTGATTTCAAAATCCTGGAGGGTGGGGGAAGATTTGAAAAGACTCTGACCTCTGGCTGCCAGAACTGCTGGGGAAGGCAGCCAAGAGGTCTTTCCCACTCTGCGGGAGGCACCGGCTCAGGGCCGACACTCACTTGTGACCAGAGACTGCTGGTACAAAGGTTGTGACTGGCTGAAAGGGTCTTTATGGAGCTCTGGTCCTGGGCAGAACAGCATGTTTCAATTACCAGAGTCATAACCCCCTACTCTGTTGGTTTGTTTAATGAAAGAAGGGCTTCTTAAACCTTAATGTTCCATGGCTGTATTGTCATTTTAATAGGCAAATACATAAAACCACAAAGAAATGTGAACATGGAGCTACTAGCTGTGCCCAGCCAATCCCCAGCCTCCAACACACACACACACACACACACACACACACACACACACACACACACTATGCACACATGCACACATGCACACTTCCTTTTCACTCATACGTGCACATATACACTTTGGCACTGAAAATTTCCTATGCTTTTTAACACAGGCATCTTTTGCTATTGAGACCAAAAGGATGTGAGGCCAAAGGTCGAGGCAGGTGATGACCCACACTGAACTGGGGACAGCTTGGCTCTATGGTGCTGTCAGCTGGGCCCTATTTAGACTCAGAGGACTGCAGACCACTTTACCACCCAGGAGACCGCTCGGCTGTCTTTGAGGCCCACAGCGTGGAGCATCATTATTCTCTGGCAAGCTCAAATGTCAGCCGTGGGGCTGTCAGAGGAGGGAAATGGAGCTCTCAACTCTAAAAGCCACTGAAGGTTCCTGCTCACATGTAAAGGTGGCCCTTGCTGAGAGGAGCAGCAGGACCAGAGGCTGACCTGCAGTCTTGTTGATGACTCCCTGCTGACCCAGTCAGTACCTTTGCTCTGTGAATCCCAAAGATTCTGTGCCCACAATGTATTCAGACCTATTATGAAGAACCTGCTCTTTCCTGAGCTTTAGTCTGGGATCAACTTAAACACACACCCCTGAGACCCATAAGACATGGTTCACAAGAAGTATGGATAGAGAGTGACTCTGTCTCTGGGGTGAGCCGTCTCTGACCCAAGTGCACTGAGAGAGCTAGGCACCTGTGCCTGTGTCTTAGCACACAACTGACGGTAAGTCCTGACCCTGGGATGCAGCTATGCCCTCTGCCATCCATTACTGCCTCTCTTCTCCTGGCTCTCAGACTCCAGTCCAAGCAAAGTCTCCATCGCAAGGCAAACGAATAGGATATGGACCCTCCAATGCTGGCTTCATGGAGGCAGAAGTGCTGCCTTGGCCTGTATGCCACGCATCTGAAGCCATCTGGCCTGGCCCAGCTCTGCACCTCACCAAAAGCTAGGAACCAGGGCAGTTGACATAAGGCATCCACAGCTCCTCAGTGATCTGGCAGGGTGGCTGTGCTGTTGGGACAGGGCTGTTTATACTAGCAGGGAACAATGACTCGCCAACACTGATGAATAATTTGAAACAAATGCAGGGCCATGTAAACATGTCTTTCCCTTGCTCCCAAATGATAAAACCCCAAGATTAAGCAGGAGGGAAAAGAGAACTGTCCCTCTGCACCCTTCAGCACTGTGTCCAAACAGGGCTCCACATCGTACCCAAGTAGGGTAGAAAGTCCTGGGGACACTGAGTCCTTATACAGCCTGAGGCCACACTCAGGACCTCTTCTATAGACACTCTGCATTTCAAGCTCTCAAACAAGACTCTCAGGGCCTGGAGAATGATCAGCTGGTATAGTTAGGATCATGAGAAGTCTGCCTACCCACCTAGGCCAGATGGAGGTCACCTGGCAGAGCACCATGGAGAAATAGTCCTTTGGCTGTTCTTTGGAGTCAGCCAGCACACTGTGACCCAGCACAGGGTGTATAGTACTATAAAGAGGCGCCTTCAGGGCCAGAAGGGAGTCCATACCAGGCATTGGGCTCCCTGAGGTCTGCTCTGCCTTTCCCTCAGTGTGTGGGCAGTACTGAGCCTTGTCTCCAGGAAGCATGGCAGGGACTGCAGACTGTCTTCCAAGAAGCCCCTTGGAGCACCAGGTACAAGCAGGCTTTCTTCTCTCTCTATGGAACCATGATTGTTCTTACTGATGAACTGTGTGTGCTCCCCCGCCCCCCCAAAAAAACAATCTGAGACAACATGATGCCCTGTCACTTCACAGACAGACGCCTGATGCTAGTTCCAGCCCCAGCTAAGACACTGCTCAGTATATCCAGGAATCCCCCACTAACCCCACTCTGGGGCCTGGCTCTTATCACCTCTGGTTCTCAGAAGAGGAGATGGAAAGAGACTTTCTCAAAACACAAAGGATACAGAGTGTTCTCCTGTCAGTGAGAGCACCTTAGGGGGCCATGGGGGCAGAGGGCATTTCCTCATTCCTCCCCCTTAGTGCCTCCTTCTAGGTTTTCCAGAGGTGGAGGCCTTCCCTCTCTACTTCATTCCTCTGCTTGGACCACAGGTCCCACTGTGCCACCCTGCCATGGGTGGGGATAAGCCTGTATCTCCTTTGTAAGAGGCAGGCTTGGGGTGGCAGGGCAGAAGGCCATACCTGATAGTTGAGGGTGAGCTCGCTGGGGACAATATCACAACTTACTTTCAGAAGGAGGCTAGCTGCTACAGCAGAGTGCTGTCTTGGCTCACCAGGTTTGGTGATTTGAAAGGAAATGCCCTCCCCGTATGGCACTATTAGGAGGTGTGGTCTTGGTGGGATAGGTGTGGTCTTGTTGGAGGAAGTGTGTCACTGTGGAGGTGGACTTTGAGGTCTTATAAATGCCTGTGTCTCAGACCACTTCCTATTGCCTGCAAAATGTAGAACTGTCAGCTACCTCTCTAGCACCATGTCTACCTACATGCCACCATGTGACACCATGATGACAATGGACTGAACCTCTGAAGTTGTAAGCCACATCAATGAAATGTTTTTCCTTTATAGGAGTTGCCATGGTCATGGTGTCTCTCCACAGCAATGGAAACCCTAACTAAGACACTAGGCATCCAGAGGGACTTGGGCAGGCTCTCCAAGTCACTCTCCAGGAGTCTGATTCTCCTAGTATTAGAATGTGCCTCATTCACCTACACTTATATCCTTCTCAAGGGACAGCCTCATCTCGTCAGACACAAGCCCTTGCCCTTCTGCATCCATAGACACTAAATACTGACTGAGAATGAATGCCACTTGGGGTTTTAGAAGAGCACACAGAGATGGCAAGCTCCCTGGGGGAAGGGATGTAAACCCTGGGTTGTGAGCACCGGCAGATGTGTGGCCTGAGGCTGGAGGATTGGCAGGGCAGGGCACATGGGGAAGGGACTGTGAGTACCACAGCAGGAGGTGGGTTCGGAAGCTCCCAAGGATAGTGACTGGCTAGGTCCTGTGTGCTGACTCAGGCAGCTGGGAAAGCTAAGCCCTGGGCTTGGAGGTGTGTCCTGAGCTGGGATCATGACTCTGCAAGGCTCTCAAAACATCAGTTCTTTTGGATCCCACAGTCCAACCAGCAGAGTGATACTCTTGGAGAAGTTCTCAGAGTAGCTTGACAAGTTCTCACTAACCCTTAAGGCACTGAACCTGTGTGTAGTGAGACCCTAGGGGCCTTCTCCACCCCAGGCTCCAGGGTCATGAAACAGCTAGGGTGGCGGTGGGAACATCTTGCTTCTGAATGCTGACAGTCTACCATCTTCCTTTATAACCACGGTGGGGCTTCCTAGAAGGCAGGGAACCCCTGTGCACTGGAACTAAGCTATGAAGCAGATTCTAGGCGGCACTAGAGGAGCCCCTGAACCAGGCTAAGGACACAGAACAAAGAGCTTATCTTGACACCCCAGCTTGGTGAGGGATGCAGGGACCGTCTGTGGGGTGAACAGGTCTCCTTTAACATATAGTGCACTTCTGCATGGAGCCACCCCTTTTCTTTCGGCTAGCTGAGGCAATAGACAAATGGGGAGGAAGCTGGGCCGCAGGTGGTCCCCAAGGTGACCCTCAGTAGGAATGCTGTTTGGTAGTTGTTCCTTCAGTCAAAGGCGGGATCCAGTGGCAGATGAGAGTGCTGGAGTCTAGGAAGGCCTGAGTCCCCAGGGTCACAGAAGAACTCCCCTCATCTCAGCCTGGCCTGAACCTCACTTGGCCATCTAGGCCTGAGAAGCACCCCATTTCCCAACAATATTTTCGTCTCCCTCTCACCCCTGCAGTCACCAGGGCTACGAACTTGGCCTCCACACCTAGTCCATCTCTCCCCAGTTCCCACGGACACAGCCCATCTTAGACCTCATGTCACTCTGCATGTACGTTCTGTGTCTCACATCTTCCAGCTTCCCCGTGACACACGCTTCAAGGGTGTGGCCACCGAGGACTCCACCTTTGACAGGACAGGGCATCCATGATAGAGCCTCGCAGGGTCTCTGGGGTCACTGCCCAGTACAGACACAGTTCTGGCACTGACACTAGAGCAGGCAGCCCTTAGCTGTGACTCCTGCTCAGCTTTGCTCTGTGGAGAGACACTACCGTCACT